GTGAGGAATAGCAGAAAGCAGACCTTCCACTGAAAAAGAACATAACCCACAGCCAGGAATACACCTACAGTGGCAGAGCCTGGTCATTACTTTTTGTCTTGCTATGATCTAAAAACAAAACAAAACAGAAAAAAAAACTGACAAAAGCAACTCAAGGAAGGAAGGGTTTATCAGCAAACAGCTCAGGGCCACAACCCACCCACCATTGTAGGGAAGTCACTGCGGCAAGAGCTTCAGGCAGCTTTCTACTTGCAAGAAGTAGAAAGTGATGAGTACCTGCGCTCACTCAGCTCAGTTCCCCTTCTCTATTCAATCTGGGGTCCTAGCCCAGGGAATGGTTCCACCCACAGTATTTTTTCTTCCCACCTTAATTAACCTAATCAAAATGATCTCCTGCAAACACACCCAGAGGCCCATTTCTCAGGTAACCATTGAGATTAGCCTTCATAGATGGGCAGCCAAGAGCCCTCCCAAAGAGACGCTAACGGGGATGACTCCAAAGACAAAGCCTCATGGACTCAGAGAACATGTGTCCAAGGGTACTATCGTTAGACATTTTCAAGTTGGCCAATGCAGAGCGCTCTGTCTTCTGAGCAAGACTCAAGACTCTCAGAGTATGGAGGGTGGTGAGACATGGTGCAGGTCACTGGGTCCAAACCTCCGTGGTTGGCTTTCAAATGCATCTTGATGGGCCTGGACTAAAGGCCTTTTCATATGTATTCACAGCAGATGCTTGAGTGTAGCCCACTTAACTATGAGTTTCATGAGGTCAGAAACTTACTCCTGGTCAACCATAAACCCCCAAGGCCTGGCTCATGGAGGTACTGTGTTGGTTAAGTTGGTTGGATGAGGAAATGCTTAGGAGTTTAGTAGGGCACCCCTGGGACTAATTTCCAGATTTGACCCTGAGAGTCCTGACCTAATTGATGGATCATTCTATAATAATGAGCTTCAGAAGTGGTGAAGAGAAATGGGTGTGGCTTGGGTGAAGGAAGTAGGCCACTGTGGAGGCATGTCTTGGTGGCTATATTTTACCCTAGTTTTTTCTTATATGCCTTCTTCCTACTTTGTGTCCATATTTGAGCAATGTCCTCTTGTCACATGCTCCTGATACTCTGCCCAAGTATGCGGTGCCAAGCAACTGTGAGCTGAGCCCTCTGGAACTGTGAATCAATAGCCCCACATGCTACCACCATCACCATCACCATTTAAGTTGTGTGTATCAGCTACTTTGGTCACAAACTCTGGAATGCAGTAAGCATCCATGGAGTGGTATAGGAATCTCTAGTGTAGGTGGATGAAGGAACCAACCCCCACAGAATGCACACACAAACACTTGAGATTCAAGACTTCAGATCGCCTTGCCAAGAAGTATTTGGAGGACATTGTAGGCAGGGTTTCTGTGTGTCCCAGCAGCCACTTCATAATAACCACGCTGAGGGCCGGGCGTTGGTGGCGCATGCCTTTAATCCCAACACTCGGGAGGCAGAGGCAGGTAGATCTCTGTGAATTCGAGACCACCCTGGTCTACCGAGTGAGTTCCAGGACAGAGTCCAAAACAATACAGAGAAACCCTGTCTTGAAAAAAAAAAAACCATGCTGAGCCTTAATATTAATTGTAAATGATCAGCCAGTAGCTCAGGCTTGTTCCTGACTAGCTCTCACATTTTAAATTAACCCACAATCCTTATTTACATTCTGCCACGCATGTCTTCATAAGCATGGCACATTCATCTCCCTCTCCCTCTGCATCTCCTAGTGTCTCTTCTAACTCCGCCCATCTTCCTCCCAGCATTCTCAGTATGGCTTCCTGCTCTCTCTCTCTCTCTCTCTCTCTCTCTCTCTCTCTCTCTCTCTCTCTGTGTGTGTGCATGCATGCATGTGTGTGTATCTGTATCTTCTATCATCTATGTATTTGTTGCCTTTGCCAGAGTGTTTTATTACAGCAACAGAAAAGTAGCTAATACAGGAGAGTGAAACAGGAGCATTTCCAGGGTTGCCATCACTTCTAGACTGAGAGGAAACTGGGATGTGAAGGCACTCAGAGAGGTGAGTGAGGTGTCTGCGCCCCCTGAGAGGTGTGCCAGGGCCTTGGCCATAGCAAATATGACCAAGACTGTGCAATCAGACCTCAGCACACAGCTCTGCTGGTAGACCTACACAGCTGGGGATCCCAGAGGACATGCCACAGAGCCACTGGAATGTGTGGATGACTTAAAACCCATCTAGAGGCATGTCGGTGAATGGCCAGCAAACACAGGTAACAAGAATTGTTACTGCTGCCACAGTTCTGTCGTAGCTGTGGTTGGCCAAGTTTAATGCTTGAGGTGAGAGAGAAAGGACAGAGGAGAGGGTGAACTGTCACACGAGGAGATCTAGGAAAGATGGGAAGGCCTGTGTGATACAAAGGTTGACAGAAAAAGAAGAAGAAGAAGAAGAAGAAGAAGAAGAAGAAGAAGAAGAAGAAGAAGAAGAAGAAGAAGAAGAAGAAGAAGAAGAAGAAGACTGACCTAGGACTTTCTTCTAAGTCACACTAGTTCCGTTAAAGGAGTTATGAAAAGTCAGGTAGATTGGAGATAAGATAAAATTGGACCCAGAATCATTTCAGACATTAAAAAAATGCTTAATTTAAAAACTAAGCAAAGGTTGGGAATATAGCTCAGTGGTAGACTACCTGCCTAGTACACACACACACACACACACACACACACACACACACAGACACACACGGCTCTGGTTTCCATCCTCCATACCACAATAAATAGATGAATATTCTTAAATAATCAAACATTTAATTGGCGTTATTTAAATGGAATGTTTAATACTTAAGTATGTCACTTAGTATTTAAATGACAAAAAAATAATAATAAGAGCAAGCAAAATCGGGTGGTAGACTATTCTGGAGAGTATGGGCCAGGCACACGGTTTTGAGCATGGTAGAAATATTGTCTTTATGCTGTAAAGCTTGATAAGAGAAAAACAAGCCGGGCGGTGGTGGCGCACGCCTTTAATTCCAGCACTCGGGAGGCAGAGGCAGGCAGATCTCTGTGAGTTCGAGGCCAGGCTGGACGGACAGCCTCCAAAACAATACAGAGAAACCCTGTCTCGAAAAACCAAAAAAAAGAGAGAGAGAGAGAGAGAGAGAGAGAGAGAGAGAGAGAGAGAAACAAAGCAAAAGAGAAGGAAGAAAGGGAGGGAGGGAGGGAATAATGGAAGGGAGAAGGAGGGAGGGGGAATGTTTTACCATAAGTAAAGAGAGAAAAAAGTGTGTGTGTGTGTCATTTTTTAAAGTAAATAAAATCTTGTTTCCGTCTTCTCTTCCATCCCCACCCCCACTCCCAGACATACAGAGAGAGGAAGAGAGCCAGCCTGTCATGGATTTAAAAAAAGTTGCACGATAAATATAGGTGTCTGTTACCTGGATGGCTGAAGTGTATTAAGTGGGAGAAAAAGAAGGGAGACAGAAACAGTTGGGAGAAAATGAACAAACGAAGAAAGTGGTTCGTTAAGCAAGAAGCCACGTGTGTGTCACAGTTTGCTTCTGTGCCCTCAAACCGTTGTCTCTGTAGTGGTGTGTCACTTCTTGTCTATTAATCTGGAGTCTTAAATCTTCCGTCCCCTTGATTAAAATGTCTAACATTAAACTAAACTGAATACAAAGCAAAGCTAAAATGCATTGTTGTGTGCTGTGACGGAAGGACACCCTCTGGGTGCCATGACGGACCTGAGATTCATGACATTCTTGCCTCTACTTGTGACTTTTCTGGTCCTCCCTGTGGAAGGTGGCACCTGAAGGAGAGGACAGAGCTAGCTTCTCCCCCAGCTGCGGGTCCACAATCTCATTTCCCCCCACACTGTTGCCCATAACAGCCTAGTAGCCTCACACTGCCCTGAGGCTACCACACCACCAAACCCCCTGAGGAAAGCTCCAAAGTGAGATGTGGTTCTGTTGATGGGCATTCTCCAGCAAAACAGCCAGTAAAATGTATGGATCCTACTGTGGGATGTTATTTATCAAGATAAAAATAGGCTGTAGGGGAGGACAGAGGAAGGGAGAGATTTGTAATAGGGGTGTTGGCTCTCATGATTCTGGAAGCTGTTAAGTCTCACACCCTGTCTTCTGCAGGCTGGAGACCCAGGAGAACTTTCAGGGTATGGACAGATGGAGAACTGTCCCAGCTCAAGTTACCAGGCAGAAGCTGGGCTGAACCTTCCTCTGACTTTTTTATTTTATTCACACCTCAGCAGATTAGAGGGCTTGTCTCGCCGAGGAAAATCATCTGTTTCACTCAGCTCACTGGTTCAACTGCTTCCAAGTCTTCTGGAAATGCCTTCAGCTACCTGAGCTCTCCAGGGCCCAGGAAAGTTGACCTAAGAGAGTAACCAATGTAACCCTCCATCACTCTAGCTTCCCACATCTCTGTGAGGGACAAATCACACAACGCTGGATGTACTGAGCCAACGCCTCACAGAAACAGCACTCAGTGGCAGAGCACATGGTTGTAGGGAAAGGGTCCTGTTTCCTTCAGTGATGAAGTTGGCTCAGAGCATGGGGGGACGGGTGCTGAGGAATAATAGATAAATGACAGGGTATATACATGGAGGGCTGACAGGAGAGATGAAGGCCTTGAAGGAGGAAGGCCAGATCCAAAGTCCACATTCTTATCTTGCCCACGGGGTCTTACAAGAGTCATATTAGAGCAGCCGGAGCACCCCCCAAAAAGGCCTTGAGGTGGGAACAGGACAAAGGAATGGCATTGTTAAATCCATGCCTATGCAATTTTGTCACAACCTAAGTTGTAAGGTGGTTTAAAATCGTCCTTATTACTATTATAGGAATAGTCCCTACTGGCTAGCTTTTGTAGGACTAGAAGGCGCTACTCAGACTGCCGGAAGAAAAAGTTATCAACAGTCTCCTTCAGCTCTCAACCCTGTGAACTACAAGCAATGGCAGACATGTCAAGACATACCTATGGAGGTAAACATTGGCATGAATGTTATGGGGGTAGCCAACTTCCTTTTTAATTGGATCCGAGGTCTGTTCCATAGGTAGAAACACCTGCCTGATGCTGTAAATCTAGCCAAGAATGCATGGTTGGGAAGCTCACTGACCCCCATGGGTGAAGATGCCACCATGATTCTGCTAAATGGACATAGTACCAACTGTCCTCTATCAGGGATTACTATAGATCTCAGGCCTCACCACAGAAGTTCCTTTGTGTGGGTGGCGGCTAATGCAGAAACTCGCAACTGATCAACGTGCAGCAAGTTCAGTGTCTGTGGCGTGCGTTTACAACACTCCTCCTCCAAAGGCCCAGGAACAGCCACAAGAGGAGGGAATAGAAAGACTGTCAGAGCCAGCAGTTTGGGAAAACAGGGGTGAAACCGTGTCTTCTGGTCATGACCGAGTGACAGCATTCACGAACTCACAGCAGCCTCCGCGGCTGCCTGCACAAAACCTGCCAAACAACCAAGCCAGTAATCATTATAGATTGGAAAGAAAGCGAGTGACTCACAAGCCCCAACCCCCTAACTGAGGAGCTATGGACAGCTGATGGCTTCTGGAGGAGGGAAAGTGAGTTTTCTTTAAATGTGTCACAAATAACATGTGGTGGATGGTCCCACTCTCAGAAGCAGAAATTGGATACAGTGGGTAATTTAAAAATTAATTTAAAAAAAGACACAAAGTTGGAGGGTAAGGAGGTGGGAGTCGATCTGGGAGGAGTTAGGAATAAAAGTGGGGTGACTATGGTCAAAATACCTTGCATAACAAAAAGCCTCAGAAATTAATAAAAAAATATTTTTAAAAAGCCTATCATTTGGGACTAGACCTTCCACACGGGAGCCTGCAGGGGACACTTTCAAATTTAAGACATAGCAGTAATGAGTCCTCTCCAGGGACAGGAATTTAAGTATTGAAATTGACTCTTACTTGATGGCCAGCACTATCAGCAGAGTTTGCTGTCTCAGACAAGTGCAACCCATTTCATCTTCAGCAGATCCTTCTGAAGCCAGTGGACTATCTCCACACATCACATTTAGCCAGGACATCTCTTCGGTCATATTAGCAATGACTGCGAAGCGCCTTGCTCCTGCAGAGACCGTGAGCACACAAGGGCCTGTCGGGAACCAGGGGCATGAAGGGTTCATAGGTGAGATGAATAAACAGAAACTGCTTCTCTCGTGATATGTGCAGTCAAAATTACACTTGCTGAATGGTGCCGAGATGACTTGGCCAGTAAAGGGCACTTCGCCCCCGTGCCTGGTGACCTGAGATCAAACTCTGGAACCTACAGAGTGGAAGGAGAGGACCAACTCTCACAAGTTGTCTTTTTTTTTTTTTTTTTTTTTTTTGGTTTTTACGAGACAGGGTTTCTCTGTATTGTTTTGGAGGCTGTTGGTCCAGCCTGGTCTCGAACTCACAGAGATCCACCTGCCTCTGCCTCCCGAGTGCTGGGATTAAAGGCATGCACCACCACCACCTGGCCACGAGTTGTCTTTTGACCTCCACTTGCAACTTGTATCTTTCTCTCTCTCTAAAATAAACACATGAATAGAGAAAATGTATCAACTCATACCCATTTTATGGAAACTGTACTCACTCTAGTTTATTTATGAGAAAAACTCAAGAAGACAACTTATTAAATCCTAAAAGACTTTAATTTCTGATGTCTCTGTGGTTTCTTTCCTCAGCCAGTTTACAACCAGAGAAAACCCTGCTCACATTGCGCACACAAAGAAGAAAGCAGATGGTCACTCTAGTGCTGTTTGAGAGTAACATAAGTAGAACGTAGATTAAATCAGATGTGGTGCATCTGCCGATGGAATATCATGTCCTCATTAAAAAGCCACTGACATGCAAGAGATCAAACCTCAGGAAATGCTGGGCCCTCAGGATGTTTTGAGTAAAAGAAGAGTGGAAGAGGAGCACATACGTCCCTACGTACACACAGATGTGCGTATTGTTTATGTTTATATGCTCTCACATGCATGGAGTCCCTGGATGAGTATCTATGAAGCCATTATCCATCCCAAAGGGAACTGGGCTAGGTAGAGGAGAAACACATAGCTTCATGACACAATCGTTCCTATGAAATGCATATCTCCTCACTCATTTCAATTTGGCTCATTTTACAATTGAAAGACATTAGCACAAGAAAATATCGGTGAACTTTAAGAGATTGCTGTGCATGGGGCCAAAGAGATGGCTCACCAGGTAAAGGCAATTGACATGAAGCCTGACCCTAACCAGAGTTTGATCCCTGAAGCCCTAGAGATAGGAGAGAACCAACTCCCACCAATTGTCCTTTGGGGTTCACAGGCATGCACACACACACACACACACACACACACACACACATTTGCATATACACATGCATATACACACATTAAACAAGCAAGCAAATAAATTAAACTCTAAGAAGTAGATTACTGCATACAATTCAATGCTATACAAACATACCAGCCAATAGCCACATCAGTCTTCTTAGATTTAAGTATGAGGTAATAAAAAAGAACATGTGAAATGTTAGCTGAGAGCATGGCACAGTTCTATAATGCTGGCACTTAGGAGACGGGGCAGGAGGATCATGGATGAGAGACCAGCTCCACAACATAGAAAAACATTCTGAACAAAACACAACCGCAGTGAATTTATTTCCCCAGTTGTGCCGTATTTCCCATGCCAGGCACCATACCCAGCTAGTGACGGGCACATCACGTGGCACGGATACAGGAAACTTCCACTGCTATGAATAGTAACTTGGAGTGACCTCAACCCAGAATCTCCCACAGTCTCAAAAGACACAATTCTGGAGGTTGGATACAAATCTCTGAAATCAAAGATCCCCACACTCAGAATCCTGAAAGGTTAGAATTCCAAATGTTGAAATCTCGTAAGCCCCAAAACCCAAATAATAACTCCTTGGAAAACAAAACAAAAGGGAGGCTATTCTGCTTTCATTTCTGTTGCTGGGACAAAAAAATAAATAAAATTAATAATCATTAACAATAATAATAACAAATGAGCAGAAAGCAAGTTAGGGAGAAAAGTTTTACTTGGCTTGCAAGTCTGAGTTGTAGCTCATTATTGAAGGGAAGTCAAGGCAAGAGTCTGGGGCAGCTCATTGTACCTCACCCGCAGCCAAGAACAGGGAGAAATTATTGCAGGGATGGTGCCTGCTACCAACGTCCATCTAACTTGAGTCCTCTGCCTAGGGACTGGTGCTGACAACATTGGGCTGGGTCTTCCTATGTCAATCAGTTTAAGGAAGACAATCCCCCAGACGTAGATCTAAATAGACTTACATTTTCCCTGGCCACACAAACAGGGCTCTTGTTCAGTCAGATGCCCAAGAAGAGATGTTTAAAATCTCACAATGCATCTGCATTCAGCTCAGAAGTTGGAAAGACAAGAAACACAATATACCAGTCTATTTATTTCTTTATTTATTCATCAAAGGGGTCTGCATGAGAACTAAACATGTATTGAAATGTACACTTTCCAATCATTATTCAATCTACTTCTAAAAAAATTAAAGTAAACATAACAATGGTTCACAAACAAGACACAGGGTAATCACTACCTTCATAAGTGAATTTTCCCTAATATTTTTTCTGTTATGGGCAGAAAACAAACTTCAAATAAAGATGGCTGTCATTACAATTACACAGCATCATCTTCAGAGAGAAGAGAGAAAAGCTATTGTGTCTAGAGAAACAAGGACATGGTGGCTTTTAAATGAACATTCAAAGATCAAGATGAGGTCCAAGAAATCAAAAGCATGATCATTGAACTGAAAAAAATCCCAAAGAAAATATTATATAGGAAGCAAGGGAAACTCAAAGGGAGAAAACCAGACAGCACAGTTGTTTTGCAGATGAGTAGACTGACAATGGGAATCCAGAGAGTTACAGAAAGAAGGAACCTCTTACAGAAGGAAGCGATCATGAAAGCAATAACTCAATAATTTCTTGGAACCAAACAATGTGATTCATGTGCCCTGTACAGCAAATGGAAACAGGTGCATCAAAGCATGATTATGTGAAATTTCAGATTATTGCAGCAAACCTTCTACACAGGGATGGTGAAGAAACAGACTGGATACAAGAGGAGCAATGCAGCTATTGAATTTCTTAAAATAGATTAAAAGTCAGACAAAATATCAAGTTACTTAAAACTGAGCAAATGATCCCTTACTCAGAATTCTTGGTAATTACACATACATTTTTTTATAAAGTAAAATGTCATCAGTTTGTGAGGCCTCTGCACTCTATCAGGAGGGGACTCCACTAAAATGAAACTGGAGACCAGGAAAGGAGCTATAAGTAACGGAAAATAGAAGGCCCAAACCAAGACAAGAGGGAAGGACTCCCTAGTGTGGAGGTACAGAACCTGGTGCAGATTTCCGTGAACTTACATTCTAAGTTTCCCCTAGGCAACTTAGGCATGAGACACAGCAAGGGGCATTGTGATTGGAAGGGGACTTAGCAAACCTCCCTTTGGAAGGGACTTGCATCCTCGTGGAGTCCGCTCTGAAACAACCTGAGCAGAGATGAAAGGTATTAAATCAACATATGGAACTGGATTGTTTTTCTCTGCAGTTTCACCAAACCTAGAAACGAAAGGAAGATGAAGGTCCCTGCCTCACAATAGCAGGGGAACAGGGGGAAAAAAAAAACGGGACTTTGTTTTTCAAAAAGGAAATGCAAGACATGTGTCATAAAGACTACACAATGGTAAATAAGACCCAACTGTTTATAAAATGCCCGGGGTTTCATGAGCCAGGATTGCTGAGATGTCACCTAATGCTTAACACGGTTCAATCAGCCTGGCTGGATAATCGTAGGTGCCTTGTTTCCGGGTGTGTATTGGTGAGAGTGGTCCAGACAGGACGTGTGTGACTTGGAGCCCCGCGTAGGGCAGACACATCCTGTGGGCGGTCACCATCCTGTCGGCAGGAAGTCCAGACGTATAACAGGTCAGGAAAATGAAGGAAAATTGCCTCCGCTGTTCCACCTGCAGAGGGCTGTTCTTTGCTGTTGCAGCCACCACAGCGACAGACCTTGGACTTAAGAGTCCAGGTTGGTTGAACTGTGGACCTCACGCTTGCACCAGCCTCCTTCCCTCATTCTAACCCTTTGACCAATCTTGATGACTACAGTGTTAGCTTCCTGGATGCGAGGCTTCCGAACGTGGCCCCAAGTTGCACTCGGAGTTTCCTTGACCCTCAAACCCTGCTTACTTGTCTCTCTACTTTACAGACGGTCTCTCGTGGGGCCTGGTCAGCCTCTATGACCGCTTGACTCCTCCTAATCAATGCATATATGCAACCACACACATGCACGTAAGTGTGTGCATCTCCCATTGATTCTGTTTCTTGGGACCCTTGGCCAGCATGCTGTAATATTATTTGAACTGATCTATATATGTTCAATGGAATCACTGCCAAAATATCAACTACCTCCCCCCCACACCTAGAAATTGATACATTGAGCCTAAATTTCCGGTGGAAATACTAGAATAAGACAGTTTTAAGAAAGGAATAGCAAAGCTATTTTCAGTTCCCAGACTGACTCCACAGCTATGGTAACCGAGACAGTGTGGTGCTGGCCTCAGGACAGGCATAGGAACCAATAGAAAGTAATTGGGCTCACAAATGACCCTCAATAATTAGAAGCAGGCGGCTTTCAGCAAACGTGATGAGTAAATCTAAGAGTTGCAGTCAGTGGCTAGAGACAGCTATATGTGGGCACACTAAAGAATAGAATTGAATCTCTCTATACCACCTCTAAAACTCAGCTCAAAATAGATTATAGCTCTAAATGTTAACTGTCTGTCAAACTAAAAAAATACAGGAGCAAATATATACTCATTACTTGCATTTACATATATTAATACTTAATATATTAACTTACGTTAACTTTATATTAATATTAAATATAATTTACATTAATATGCAATATATATATATATCTCACATTAGATGGGTCTTCTTAAGTATACCAAGAAAGACCACAGGGAAACTTTTGCCAAACAGATTTCCATAAGATTAATGTCTCTTGTGCTGCAAATTATTTGATCAAGGGAGTAAAAACGCATCCCACAGAATGGGGGAAATGCTTCCAAATTTTATATCTGTAGAATGGTTTGTATTCAGAATTTATAAATAACTCTTACAACTCAATAATTAAAAAATAACCCAAGTAAAACAGTGGCAAAGAATGTGATTAGACATTTCTCCAAAGGAAAAATATGCAAATGGCCAGTAAAACACAAAAAGGCTCTCATCGCTCATCAGTGA